CTGGCTTGATATGTCTATTGTACTAGTATTACTTTTATTAATGTACTACGTATCCTCGTGTAAGATGCTCTCTCCGTCCCATTGGACTTTGCCAACTTTCCCTTTTTGGTTGTCCCAAAAAACTTTGACAATTTCCTATTAAAACAACTAATTTGTGGTTCTGCACATTTCTTTCTCTTCTGCACTAATCTCAACCACACAGTTTTTACTATTCTTATTTCTCACCTACTTTGCACTTGGCAAAGTCCACCGGGAAGGAGGTAGTAAAAAACTAGGCGGAATAATGAGTAATCCACACTGTAAACTGTAAAGTGAGTATAGACTTGGACATTTCTCAGCTCATTCTTACCCGCATTTCTTTTTCATTACTTCTTTTTTTTATGTCTCGTGTTGATGATGGAGTGACAAGGAGTTTTAATTAGCTAAACCTTTTTTTTATAGTTATGGGAGATATCAGAACAGATGTAATAATAGTTTAGGAGATTTGAACAAAAAAAGGGAGATATGTTAATTTCATCCCTAGTTTTTTATGGGATCTGCTTTTACTCAATTGCAAATATGATATCTTGTCATTGATAAATTTATAATATGATTTTTTCAATAGTAAGTACACTTTGTGACAAAAAATATCATACTAGACATCGCTTGCATCAAATTTCGGGTGAAAAGTATGTTTTTCGTTGGAAGTCAATTGTGGGTAAAAAATTATCAAAAGGACTAAAAGTTAATATAATCGAAAAGTATATGTCTAAATCTACTATTTCCTCTAATTATAAATAGTATAAAATCGCCATGATAAAAATATTCAGAAGTCCCAAAAATGCTATGCGCTGCTCGGAAATGGTCAACGTAGTCCTCTAGAAAGTTAAAATTGTTTAAAGAGTGGTTTTTGATTTCGCACGTTGAATTATGTTGTAATAAAAATAAGTAAGGTTTGAGTTAATTTTGTGGAAACATTGGATGAAGGTTACTCTAGAGGATCATTTTAGCTATTTTCCATATCATTTTTATTTTATTTTATTAATAAAAACATTTTGAATACAATTTTTTCCATAAATCAGCAAAATTAGCCAACCCAACCAATCCACCTGAAATTTCATAAATTTTAGCAGAATCTGCCAATTCACTCGAAATTTCATAAATTTCAATAGAATCGGCTGAAATTTCGTCATGTAATGCACGAAAAATAGTGAATGATAAAATAATGTCTTTAATTACAAAAATAAACAAATTTCTTCCAATCCATTCGGTTCTTCTTTACCAGTTTATCCACGTAAATTATAAAGTGAATGATACTGATAGATAGTCTATACTGGGATACCGCCAGTGGTATCTAGAGAGAAGGCAGAGCAATAGGTAGGAGAGAGTGTGTGCAATAGTATTAAATGAACAGTAGTCCGTTACAACTGCCCAATTAAGGGACGCTTCTTACACTAGTCATAAATGATGGGTGCATTAAATGCACATACACGTGTAAGCTAATCTATGGCGGAGAGCCCACTGTGACGGAGGTGCTGGCACGTGGCGCGGCATTAAATATCATGCAATAGTTGGGCGCTAAGGAACGTTGGGCCGAGAGAGTTGACTGTGTGCAGTTCGAGGCCTACGGCCTCAATGCTGAGGGCTGTTGACCGGCTTGTTCGAGGAGACATATTAAATGCTCCAGATGCGTCGATGGACGGATTCGGGGCGATTCCATGACTTTGGCGCCTTCGGCCTTGTTGATGAAGGCTATCCCCTTGTGGGAAGTGGGCTGCTCCACCTTGGGTTGTTGTATTTGGATTGCCTGTGCTTTTTTTGGGCTTGTTTGCTGTAGCGAGAGTATGTGGTCCGGGGGGTCCCGGGCTATATACTCCATCAGATACTATTACTAAACTTTCATGTAGCTCAAAAAAACTAGTGAAATGATAAATGATGTCTTTATTTACAAAAATAAATAAATTTGAATGAATGAGGCACGCGAGTCCATGAAGACAGAACACTTTCATTGTCGAATGATGTCATTAGATAGTGCAAGTGTTCTGTCTTCATGAGCTCGCATACCTCATCCATTCAAATTTGACACAACCTCTAAACCAAGACGTTTTAATAACTTTAGTTTGAAATTATTTATATAATCTTGTGATTTATTTGACGCTTTCGGTGTGGGAATATTGATGGAATCGGTTTTGCAAAAAAGTCAAATAAAACTCAAGCACAATTAAAGTTGGAGTTCATACTTTATTTAGGAGGAAGTTTACCAAATCCTAGTTTTCCAATCGTAAAGCGGAAAAATGCGAACTTGTGAGGGATGCAACCAAAACTCCTAATAAAACACTTTACGAAGTTACACACTTACGTGAGTGTAGTCTTTTTTTGAGGGAGACTGACCTTAATAGGACTAAAACTCATCCATTTTCCAAAAATAAGATCTTAAGTAGTTTAAACATTCTTCAATAGCAGTTGTTATACTGTGGGAGCAGTCCATGATGAGCATGGTGCTACCGTAGCTAAAACATGTGTGAACAGTAGGACACTGTGAACAATATTTTTTTGTCTCAATAGCAAGGTGATCTAACTCGTGTGTAAAAAATGTAATTCACGTTGATGTGCAATGCAACAATAGGCAAGTCGAAATGTAACTTATCTAATACGAAGTATAAGAAATAAAACATTGATTTGAATGTAAACAATGAAAAAAGGGCTTGTGTATATCTATCTCCTCTTCCCGTTTCCGAAAAGGGCTAAACGACCTAAATTGGACCATTGAGTCAAAAGTTATGGCCAAAGCCGTGCAGACGTTTGCAAACTTGTATTACGAACTTCCAGAGGTTTTCAAAGTTGAAGTTTTCGATGTTGAAGTGAGAAAACCCTTTCTCCATGTTGGAGTTCGAAAAAAGTTTCCCGAATATGAGGTTCGACAAATATTTTTCGAAGTTGAAGTTCGAAGAAAAGTTTTTCGAAGTTCTGAAGTTTGAGAAAAGGTTTTCGAAGTTATAGCTCGAGATTTTTTTTTAAAGTTTGAAGTTTGAGAAGAAGTTTTCGAAGTTAAAGTTTGAGAGAAAGTTTTTCAAACTTGGAGTTCGAGAAAAAAAAAATCGAACTTGGCCTGCGAGAAATTTTTTCGAACTTTGCCCGCGAGAAAAAATTTTCAAACTTGGCCTGTGAGAAATACTTTTCGAACTCGACCCGTGAAAAATACTTTTCAAAGTTCGCCTATGAAAATGATTTCAAAGTTCTAGTAGCGAACAAACCCGATTCTGAGACAATAGCAACTTCTCCAGCAGCACAATTTCTTCCGAATGTCGTGGAATATCAGTTTTCGAACAGCTTGGTCTTCTTTGTCAATGGCAGATCTGAAAAATACAAAAATTTTCGATCGATTTCACGCCTAGGCTCTAATACCAATTGTAGGAACCCTGTATCCAACATTCAAACTAACAGAATGGGATAGAGTAGAGAAGAAGCAGTTTCGATTCAATACCAAAAGGATTTTGAAAATACAGCACATGGTATGAACAACGTTTTTCTCACCTCTCTATAGCGTAAAATGTAGAATGCCTTATGCGAATGTGAGAAAAACTTCTTAGGTTACGCGTCTCATCCTCCAGACTTTATAGGTCTCTAGGGTGAGCCCGTTTACAATAGGATTAACTAGCTCTGCCTGCTTGAACAACCCGAGCACTTTGCGGACAACATCCCTGTACTTTTCCATCCTCTCAATTAAAGCACCAATGTTGGTAGAAAGTAGATTGAGAGAGAAAGCGGCAGCACTTTAGTATAGTAAAAATAACTTAGTCAATACATGGGGGTGATGGCCTATTTATAGGCATCCATCACAAGTCCAAAGTCTAATCTATGTGGACTTGTTCCAAATTAATAATATGTATTGAAGCTAACGGACCAGCCGGTTGATTGACAATATATTTGACAAAGTAATGGATAATCCCTCTGTCCCAAAATTATCTTCTATTCACATGGTCAACTCAAATTACCCTTAATCTTTTACTTTATATATCATATTTTTATCAATATTAAATTTTCTTGATCAGACTTTGTAGCGGTTTTAATGTAGTTTCTGAATATGTAAATTTTATTTACTAAAAATAATCTGAGTGTAAACAGGGATCAAGTTGTTTTATTGTCAGTCAAACATCGTAAACCGAACTATGAAGATAAATATGGGACGGATGGAGTACATACTTAAAATGAAAAGAGAAAATGTTAAAGTTCACACCGGACATCTCCTAAAGAATCAAACGCTACATTAATATTTGAGATATTCCTCCTATCAGGTTGACATTTTAGGATGGAACCTCTGGTCTTAATAGAAAACAATCATTTAACACATATAACTTTATGAAGGAAGGAATGATAAGTTCATAACTGAGAGAGATTTTTCCTAAAATATTACTAATAAAAATATATGGAAAAAATGATAGTATAGTTTACTATGTATAATTTTATAGTAACTATGATATAACATTTGAATACAATTATAATCACTAAAGTTACCAAAATTAGATTTTTATCGACTATGTTTCTTTTGGTTATATATTTGAAATTGCTTCTAACTAAAATAAGTCATCTAAAAAAGGAAGCAAGACTCTTAAATTGGGACATATAACTTTTATTCATACTCTCTAAGCATTCTCACATCAATGTCTTTTACATCATACTCCACTAAGTTTACATATCCATTTCCAGTTAAATATGGTGTATCAAATTTATGAATCCGCATTTTGTTTATGAGAAAAAAAACGAATACAACAATATATAGTGTAGTGTTTGTTGGGGGTGGCTTGATATGTGTTACGCCACATCATCATCTTATCAAATAATTCTGATTTGATTTATATGTACATATTATTTCCGTGTAACATTTGTGTACGTACGTAGTCTTTGTATTAGACTAGGAAGATCTTTTCTTTTATTTCCTTTCCTATTTCCACGCATGGTAAGTGCGTAGTTGTAGCGTGTGATTCATGTATATATGTAGGCCGAGACTCCATTGATCAAGCGAGAGAAAAATACAGAAAGTATTCCTATTATTCTTTCCGTTTTACATGGTATCAGAGCGGTGAATCGGGACCTGCCGATCACGCTCGCACGACAACGCCATGGCTGGAGAAACCAGACACACCGGGGGAGACGGCAATCGTGAACATTTTGAACGAAGAAAGATCAATGACCCCTCGTCGCCCTACTTCCTCTCCAGTTCGGATCACCCCGGGATGGTGATATGCGCGGTTGTTCTTAGAGGGGAGAACAACTACCGGGAATGGGCAACGACAATGAAGAACGCGTTCCGCGCAAAACGGAAAATGGGATTTCTTGATGGTTCGATTGTTCGACCCCAGAATTTACCAAGGGATCTTGAAGATTGGTTAACCGTCAATTCCATGACGGTAGGATTGCTTATGACCTCTGTGGATCCGGCTTTGCGAACCAACTTGGCCTATGATATGCACTAGTTTATAGTGCATAAATGTATGTTTTTAATAGGACTAAAACTCATCCATTTTCCAAAAATAAGATCTTAAGTAGTTTAAACATTCTTCAATTGCAGTTGTTATACTGTGGGAGCAGTCCATGATGAGCACGGTGCTACCGTAGCTAAAACATGTGTGAACAGTAGCACACGTGAACAATATTTTTTTTTGTCTCAATAGCATGGTGATCTAACTCGTGTGTAAAAAATGTAATTCACGTTGATGTGCAATGCAACTGTGGGCAAGTCAAAATGTAACTTGTCTTATACGAAGTATAAGAAATAAAACATTGATTTGAATGTAAACAATGAAAAAAGGCCTTGTGTAGATCTATCTCCTCTTCCCGTTTCTGAAAAGGGCTTAACGACCTAAATCGGACCATTGAGTCAAAAGTTATGGCCAAAGTCATGCAGACGTTTGCAAACTTGTATTATGAACTGTCAGAGGTTTTCAAAGTTGAAGTTTTCGATGTTGAAGTGCGAAAACCCTTTCTCGATGTTGGAGTTCGAAAAAAGTGTCCCGAATATGAGGTTCGACAAACATGATTCGAAGTTGAAATTCGAAGAAAAGATTTTCGAAGTTCTAAAGTTTGAGAAAAAGTTTTCGAAGTTAAAGCTCGAGAATTGTTTTTTAAAGTTTGAAGTTCGAGAAAAAGTTTTCGAAATTAAAGTTTGAGAGAAAGTTTTTCAAACTTGGTGTTCGAGAAAAAAAAATTCGAACTTGGCCTGCGAATTTTTTTTTCGAACTTTGCCTGCGAGAAAAAATTTCCGAACTTGGCCTGTGATGAGAAATACTTTTCGAACTCGACCCGTGAAAAATACTTTTCAAAGTTCGCCGATGAAAATGATTTCAAAGTTCTAGTAGCGAACAAACCCGATTCTGAGACAATAGCAACTTCTCCAGCAGCACAATTTCTTCCGAATGTCGCGGAATATCAGTTTTCGAACAGCTTGGTCTTCTTCGTCAATGGCAGATCTGAAAAATACAAAAACGTTTCGATCGATTTCACGCCTAGGCTCTAATACCAATTGTAGGAACCCTGTATCCAACATTCAAACTAACAGAATGGGATAGAGTAGAGAAGAAGCAGTTTCGATTCAATACCAAAAGGATTTTGAAAATACAGCACAGGGTATGAACAACGTTTTTCTCACCTCTCTATAGCGTAAAATGTAGAATGCCTTATGCGAATGTGAGAAAAACTTCTTAGGTTACGGGTCTCATCATCCAGACTTTATAGGTCTCTAGGGTGAGCCCGTTTACAATAGGATTAACTAACTCTGCCTGCTTGAACAACCCGAGCACTTTGCGGACAACATCCCTGTACTTTTCCATCCTCTCAATTAAAGCACCAATGTTGGTAGAAAGTAGATTGAGAGAGAAAGCGGCAGCACTTTAGTATAGTAAAAATAACGTAGTCAATACATGGGGGTGATGGCCTATTTATAGGCATCTATCACAAGTCCAAAGTCTAATCTACGTGGACTTGGTCCAAATTAATAATATGTATTGAAGCTAACGGACCAGCCGGTAGATTGACAATATATTTGACAAAGTAATGGATACTCCCTCCCTCCCAAAATTATCTTCTATTCACATGGTCAACTCAAATTACCCTTAATCTTTTACTTTATATATCATATTTTTATCAATATTAAAATTTCTTGATCATACTTTGTAGCGGTTTTAATGTAGTTTCTGAATATGTAAATTTTGTTTAGTATAAATAATCTGAGTGTGAACAGGGATCAAGTGCTTTGTTGTCAGTCAAACATCTAAAACCGAACTATGAAGATAAATATGGGACGGATGGAGTACATACTTAAAATGAAAAGATAAAATGTTAAAGTCCCACACCGGACATCTCCTAAAGAATTAAACACTATATTAATATTTGAGTTATTCCTCCTATCAGGTTGACGTTTTAGGATGGAACCTCTGGTCTTAACAGAAAACAATCATTTAACACATATAACTTTATGAAGGAATGATAGCTAAGAGATTTTTCCTAAAATATTACTAATAAAAATATATGGAAAAAATGATAGTATAGTTTACTATGTATAAGTTTTATAGTAACTATGACATAACATTTGAATACAATTATAATCACTAAAGTTACCAAAATTAGATTTTTATCGACTATGTTTCTTTTGGTTATATATTTGAAATTACTTCTAACTAAAATAAGTCATCTAAAAAAGGAAGCAAGACTCTTAAATTGGGACATATAACTTTTATTCATACTCTCTAAGCATTCTCACATCAATGTCTTTTACATCATACTCCACTAAGTTTACATATCCATTTCCAGTTAAATATGGTGTATCAAATTTATGAATCTGCATTTTGATTATGAGAAAAAAAAACGAATACAACAATATATAGTGTGGTGTTTGTTGGGGGTGGCTTGATATGTCTTTTTTTTTTTTTTTTGCCAAGAAAAACGATTTTATTCAACAAATAAAGTAAAAATTACAGTGCAAGAAGACAAGTAAAAGAAAAGCGAACACAAAAGAAAAGAAAACAAAAAAAAAACATAAAACTAAACCCAAGGGAAATCTCTGGACTGCAATCTGGTCTTCATGCTGTGTCGTCTTTTATTCTTCTGAGATTTCCTATAGATCTTGAGTTGTGTGTTCAGATTTTCCGTTGGCAGGCAGTTTTCTGAAGTGACCAACTTTGATTTACAACACATCGATCTATTGAATTTGGAATGCTTAATTTCTTCCTGGCTTGATATGTCTATTGTACTAGTATTACTTTTATTAATGTACTATGTATCCTCGTGTAAGATGCTCTCTCCGTCCCATTGGACTTTGCCGACTTTCCCTTTTTGGTTGTCCCAAAAAACTTTGACACTTTCCTATTAAATAGGGGTGGACTCGGGCCGGGCGGCCCGGCCCGGTTACTGTTTGGCCCGGCCCGGCCCGGCCCGGCCCGGCCCGGGGCCCGGTGGGTCCACCGGTTCGGTTCGGCCCGGCCCGGCTGCTGGGCGGTTCGGGCTCGGGCCCAGTTTTTGGTGAACCGGCCCGGTTCGGGCCGGTTTTTAATTTTTTTTTTTTTGAATTTTTTTTAAGTTTTGGGTTGGATTAGGTATTTTGGGCCATTTGAGGTGGTTTGGGATGGTTTGGGGTTGAGGGGGAGGGGTTGGGGGTTAAATAGAAGAGCCAAAAAAAAAAAAAATAGAACCGGTTGGGCCCGGCCCGGCCCGGTTTGGCCCGGAACCGGAACCGGAACCGCCCACCGGCGGTTCGGGCTCGGGCCCAACTTTCCTGGCCCGAGGCCCAGCCGGGCCCAGGCCCGAACCGGCCCGAGTCCACCCTTACTATTAAAGCAACTAATTTGTGGTTCTACACATTTCTTTCTCCTCTGCACTAATCTCAACCACACAGTTTTTACTATTCTTATTTCTCACCTACTTTGCACTTAGCAAAGTCCACCGGGAAGGAGGTAGTAAAAAACTAGGCGGAATAATGAGTAATCCACACTGTAAACTGTAAAGTTAGTATAGACTTGGACATTTCTCAGCTCATTCTTACCCGCATTTCTTTTTCATTACATCTTTTTTTTATGTCTCTTGTAGTCTTGTTGATGATGGAGTGACAAGGAGTTTTAATTAGCTAAACCTTTTTTTATAGTTATGGGAGATATCAGAACAGATATATTAATAGTTTAGGAAGATTTGAACAAAAAAAGGGAGTTATGTTAATTTCATCCCTAGTTTTTTATGGGATCTGCTTTTACTCAATTGCAAATATGATATCTTGTCATTGCAGAAAATCAGCTATTAACTACGGAGTCAAAGACAAACAAGGCATCCAACATATAAAAATTACTAGTACTATTTTCATCGAATATTTTGAAAAAACCAATTAAAAACTAAAACCATGCAGTGTATTATACACAATACTTGATAGCTAAATTCTGAAAAACCAATAACAAGATAGATAAGTAGGCAAAACCACACTGCATATATAGAAATAACCACACAACAAACTTCACAACACCCAACCACCACCCCTAACACTACACAGGCCACACAAACTTTACAGATGAATGATTTAGATGTTCAGCTGCATAAAGTGGTCAGCATGCACAGTAACATTGCGCCCGCTACTCTATACAATATCCTTCGACCTCAAAAGTAGAATTAGTAATTAGATCTGAAAATATAAAACATACCAAAATAATAATTTGTAGAGAAAGAGATTAATGCTGGATTTCTATTGGAGAGATTGCATACCTACATCTATCTATGATACTTCAAGCCTTCCATTTGTATCTAAGTGCCCATTCTCATAATTGCTCTCACCCTTAAAATCACTCTTCATTGGCAAAAGCAAAACCCCCTGCAAAAGTAAAACAAAATCATTGGTAAAATCATACCAACAGAGAGGAAATACTTTGTACTAGTTCTATTGGGCCATTCAATTAGTTGATCAGGGCTTCAAAAAACTACTCATCACTTCATCAGCAATTGCAACCAGATAATAGTACTCTTCTAAAAAAACTACTCACGGCCCAAGCATCGTAAATAAAATCATGACATTTTGCCATATACTATGACTAAGCTTAACTGAAAACTATTGCAACAAAGTTTATTGAGGTACAAGAAAAGAATAGATAAACAGGGTTAAATTTTAAAACAATACTTACCTGTTGTGTGTCCCCTGCAATTTGTTTGACATCGAGTGTCGTTACTTCTCGAACTGTAACCATTTTATCTACGAACACAGTGGTCTCCTCTTCCATGCAAACTGGGATTCTTTCAAATTCAATATCTGGATTTTCAGTATATGCTTCATCTGATTCTGTTTCCTGAGAGCTGGACATGTAAAGAACATACATGAAGTTAATAATTGAAGCATCAAATATTGACTTTTATCTCCAGTTCCTTTTTTAGTTTAAGTATGACAATGGAAAGTTACTAAGAAAAACTACTACCAAGGCGTTATAACACCATGTGATTGAGATGCAAAATCAATCTCCTCTCTTCTCCTCTTGTTGCTCTGCCCCCGATCAAGAATTGTATCAGCACATCTCTTAAGCCATGAGAAAGGGGTAGAAAGGGGAGAAGACGGATTTTCCAACTCTCCACCATTGTTGACGTGTCCGCTGACACCAAAATCGTATTCATTATGTTGTTTCAAAACTTTCTTCCTAGAAACTTTTGGTTCATCAGATTTCACACGAGAATGATGTTGTTTGGCGGGAATAAGGATACGATCTGGAATCTCTTTAATTTCCTCTAATTTCTTTAGACACTCAATCTGAGAAAGTATCTCCTCCCGGTCGGCATGAAGGAGTTCCCTTTG